CACTGAATGGTTGCTGCAATGGCCCCCCTCTGTCTTTATTATAAAGCTGTCCATCAGCCTTGCAAGCCTGGATTTTTTTCTTGGGGAAAAAAATGGGGAAGGAAAAGGAGTGAAAAGATGTCTCAGAGGATCTAGTTACTCTCTACGTAAACAGTAAAATTTGAATTGGGAGGGGAAACAGAAAATTATCATTTTACAATTGAATGTTTATTTGGAGGAAAGGATGGTGGAACAACATCTTGATGTATCCATCAAGATTCAAGTTGATGCCCAATGGGGATGCCCATAATATCCCCACTTACTTCCTTCTTTGTAATAATGAGTATTATGGTTTAACTCCATACAATTGCTGATATAACCTATTGGCATCATTCTTATTAAGGTTTATTCTTAGAAAAAGAACAACTATTTTCTTAAATTTCTTTCCTCAAATGTGAAAAAAAAAAAAAATATTATCATTCCTGGTACTGTGTCCAGCGCTGGAGCCCAGAGTACAAGAAAGACAGGGAGCTGTTTGGAGAGGGTCCAGAGGAGAGCCATGAAGATGATCAGGGGACTGGAGCACCTCCCTTATGAGGACAGGCTGAAGGAGCTGGGTTTGTTCAGCCTGGAGAAAAGAAGGCTGCGGGGTGACCTCATTGCAGCCTATCAGTACCTAAAGGGAGCCTACAAACAGGAGGGGAGTCAACTCTTGGAAAGGGTAGATAACTGCAGGACAAGGGGAAATGGTTTGAAGTTGAGGGAGGGAAGATTTAGACTGGTCAGGGGGAAATTCTTTTCAGAGAGTGGTGAGATGCTGGAACAGGCTGCCCAGAGAGGTTGTGGACGCCCTGTCCCTGGAGGTGTTCAAGGCCAAGTTGGATGGGGCCATGGGCAGCCTGGTCTAGTATCAAATGAGGAGGTTGGTGGCCCTGCATATAGCAGGGGGGTTGGAGATTCATGATCCTTGAAGTCCCTTCCAACCCTGGCCAATCTGTGATTCTGTGATTCACCAGAACAAAGATTTCTGATTATCCAGAACAGAGGAAATGGGAAGCATGCACAGGACAAAACAAGCATCAGCAGCTAGACAGCTGATGGGTGGTGGCGCTACTGATTGCATTCCTAACAGTTCTCATTGTTCTTGTGTTCTTTCCTCAATCCTTGTCTGTTGTCCAGCTGTCCTCCTCTGCAATTTAGATCACAGACTTTTGGGACTGGGGACAATCCAGCTTGGGATATTCTGTGATTCTGTACCTCATTAATGTGAGATCTGTCGAGTAAATGTGGCTCTGAGCAGACCAAAAGTTTGGTTCTGCTCCTTAAGAAGATTATTGCAGTGCTCAGCTAAGCCTATCAGTGGTAGCAAGCATTTACCTTTGCAGTCAGTACGTCATGGCTAGATATTTTGTTAGAGAACTTGCTCTTTTTTTTTTGCTAGCATAAATTCTAATATAGTGTTGTATGGAGTTAAGCTATTCATAATTACATAGAGAGAATAAGATAACTGGGGATATTATAGGAATTTCAATGGTGCATCAAACTGAATCTTTGTGAATACGTGAAGAGAAATATTTTTTTAGTTGAGACCTGGAGTTAAAAACTCACTTTTGATTAAATTGCTAAGTAGCATTTTGTAAGTGATTTTAATTTTACTTTGAGCAACAGTAACAAAAATGCAAAACAACACTCCTGTTACTCAGATCTTTTTTGAAGGCTACACAGTACATAGTATATTGCTCCCTAACTGTAACTCATGACAAAAATACAGAATTGGACATCTGCTGCTGCCCTGTTTATCAGTGAGGACACTTGTGAAAACTGATGTTTTTGAAGAAACCCATTCAGCACTACAGACAATAGTGGAAGAAAAAGATGTAACCCCTCTCGCCCAAAACATACATATTCGCATTACATCTGCAGATGAGAAGCCACCTCTTACATGGAAAAGAAAATGAAGTTTGGAATGGCATGCTCTTTTTTGGAATTACTGTTTCCATCAGAAATGAAACTGCAGAACTGCCCAATCATAGTGTTATTCACTTCACAAATTCACTATGGCTCTACTCTTGACCAACCCACACCAGTTCCTCTCAGGATAGACTTATGAGACCGAGAGACTGGAGCTGTTCTGAAAGCTGGACTGTGCAGGATATCGTGTTGTATTGCTAAAACGTATTGCTTGGCAGAGTGCTTACCTGCGTACCACTTAGCATACACGTTCCCCTCTGGAGTAAGAAAGGCACTGTAACAATTCCTCCCAAAAGTCCAGGCTACATAGCCATGCTGCTCAGAAGCAGAACATTGGGCAAGATATTTTTCCACCGAAAGGGATTGTTTTGAGATGGGAACAGCCAAAGATAAGGCAGAGAATCATAGAATCATAGAATCATAGAATCACCAAGGTTGGAAAAGACCTACAAGATCATCCAGTCCAACCGTTCACCTATTCCCAATAGCTCCCACTAAACCATGTCCCTCAACACAACATCCAGTCTTTCCTTGAACACCCCCAGGGTCGGTGACTCCACCACCTCCCTGGGCAGTCCATTCCAGTGCCTGACCACCCTTTCTGAAAAGTAATACTTCCTCATGTCCAGCCTGAATCTCCCCTGCTGTAGCTTGAAGCCATTCCCCCTGGTCCTATCACTGATGACACGAGAGAAGAGGCCGACCCCCAGCTCACTACAGCCTCCCTTCAGGAAGTTATAGAGAGCAATGAGGTCTCCCCTGAGCCTCCTCTTCTCCAGGCTGAACATTCCCAGCTCAAAGAGCAGTCACATCTGCAAAGGAAGGATGGGAAACACTGTGGCCTGAGAGAGACTTGAGAAACCCTGCTGGTAGAAAGCTGGGAATATTGAATGAGTATTGAAGAAGGTGTATTCTTCTACAAGGAAACACGACTCTGTCAGTGACATTCCCAACACTACCCTTAACTTGGCTTTTGGATGGAAATAAACCTTAAGGTCATGAGTACTCGCTGAAAAGAGATTTGAGCCACATTTCATGAACTTGGATCAAAAAAGGCAATAAGATATCACTGGTTTTGCCCTTAACATTCCAGTGTGTATTTCCGTCATTTAAAAAACAAAAACAAACAAAACACAATAGAAGACTGCTTTTTCTTTTTCCCAGTCTCCCACACAACAGCTATGCCACAAATCAGATGCCACGTAGGGTCAGTTACTCTGATTTCCAAATGTCTTGTTTAATCTCCTCCTTCCCTTCTGTTCAGCTTCCCTTACAGTACAATAAACCCCAGACTTCATCCACCAGTCTGTATGTATGCATTAGATCCAGAACATTGTTTGTATTTCTGATGACCTCTGGGGAGAATACATCAACAGTTTTTCATCTCAGTACAGCAATGAAAGTGAGTAAAACACAGTTGTTATGTCTCTGAGCAATGGGTTGGATGAGGAGATTATCTTCATAATTAAAAAAAAACCCAGCCCCCACAAAGGTCTGAATGGCTCCTCTATTAATCACTACAAGGACACCATTTACTTACTGCATTTGTGAGAAACATGGCATAACAAAGCAGACCCTTTTTTTTTTTTTCTAACTCAGAGGGCATTTCATTCACAGACAATAATGGCTTTCCCTCACAGATATTACAATAATAAAGTGAAACTGAAAACATTCAGTAAATATAACCTTGCACAAATTACATATGTAACAGAACCTCATACATTTACCAAGCTGTGCAGAGTGTGAAACATTGGTCACCCTGAGGGACCCAGCTGGGTGCCGCCGTCTGCGGCCAAGCAGCAGTGCCATCGCTGCTCTGAGTCTACAGAAACCTCCTCCCTGCGCAAGAGGGATACAAAATGTTGCTCTTACAGTGGGAATAGTTTGTGAGCAGGAACTTCCAGCACTGTGGCAGCTCATACTGCTGCTGCATGTCACCTGTGGGTCTGCTGTGATGGGTGGACCTTTTGGGCGTCAGGAAGCTGGACCTGACTGTTGCAGGAGGGATTTGGGGAGTACGCAACTAAGTAGAAACAGAATTTTTGCTCTGCCACCGCCAGTCACTGAGGATTTAGAGCAAATTTATAAGGAAGGTGTAATTAAACATCTGGAAGTTAGTGAGAAGCGGGATAAAATGCAACAAGAAACTGGCTGAAGGACAATGTCACACAGTGAAGTTCCCTCACAGAAAGAAGCTCCATTAAACGTGGAGGTTGGCAGCCCTGCCTGTGGCATGGGGGTTGGATATTCATGATCCTTGAGGTCCCTTCCAACCCAGCCATTCTATGATTCCGTGAGCAGAATCTTAGTATCCCTCACACTCCAAAGCTGTGGTAAAGACCCATCAAAGGCAGCTTTTATCAGCGGCAGAGACAACGATTACACACAAACCTTCTCAGTTTGTCAGGCTGCTTCAGTCCCTACCAACTTCTCTCTCCTCAGCACAGCTGTCACCCTGTTTTTCTTCTGATTCCCGTTCTGGTCACCTGTTTCCCATCCTGTCTCATGGGAACCAACTTATGGGAAGCAGCACTGAGTGCGACAGCCCGGCGAAGGAGGCACAGGACGCTCACGGGAGCCAGTACGCCATGCAGGACCTGAACTTCCTTGCGCTATCCATAACCCACGCCAACCGAGCGCTGCACCGCTGCCCCCGGGCACCGCGGGCCGAAGGGAAGGCGTTCCCGCCCGCTCCATTGGCTCTCCCCGCGAGACTACTCGCCGTTTCTCGGCGCTCCATTGGCCGGGTTGCCCCTTCCCCCCGAGCCGATTGGCGGAGAGGGACGGAATCCCCTCGGGCGCGGGGAGGCGGCACTCGGTCTCCGGGCGGGGGCGGGCACCTGCGGCCGGGGCGGCCCGGGCGCGGCGGGGGTTCGGCGGCGGGGGGAACAAAGAACATGGCGGGTGAAGGAGGAGCTGGGCTGGCCCCGCCGGGAAGCACGCGCCAAGGGAAGACAACGCGCGACCCGGCTGAGCCTCGCCTCCTCCACCCCTTCCCCGCCTCCGTGGCGGGGCCCGCGGGAGGCGGGCGGGGCGGGGCGGGGCTGGGTGGGGCGGCTGGGAGCGGGGAGCTGCGTGCCGCAAGTTTTGCCCGGAGTGCCAAAGTTGGGCTCGGCTCAGGTGAGCAGCGGGAAGGGCGGGTGGCGAGTGGGGGGCTGCGGGGGGGGGCGGAGGGGTGCCGAAGGGCGGGACAACTTTTATTTTTTTGATATTATTATTATTGTTTCTTCTTCCCGAAACTTGAAATTTCGCACGGCGAGCGCGGCTGTCATGCCGGCTGCAGCCTTGGAGACGCGGTGCCGCCCCGCCGCTCGGCAGGGCTGGGAGCCCCGGGCTCGTGCTGGAACGCAAACTTTTCTTTATTATCGTTTCTGAGAGCACCGATCGGCCGGGCCTGAGTGGGGATGCGCCGGTACCGCTGCGTGCCTCGGGGCCGGCTCGCAGCGCGGAGTTCTTGCTGCCGAACCGTGATTAACGCGCTCGGAATTAATTCTGCCGGAGGTTGGAAATCCCGCCTCCCCCGCCGGGATGTACATCCGGGCAGCGCCGCGCGGATCAAAGCCCCTCCGCGTTCTTCTGTAGGAAAGCGCTCAGTCAGGGCGCTCCCGCTGCCGGCCCGCACTCCGTGCTGTGTCGGGCAGGGCCGAGCGGCGCCTCCGCGCTTGGCCGAGCGGAACGGGAGGGCGGCTGAGCCGTGCGGGCAGCCGCGTCGGGGCGGGTCGTTGTCATCTCTGCCCGTGTCGGGAGTGAAGCGGCGCCGGTTGTGGTGGGCACCGCTGACCGCACCGAAGAAGAATATCTCTTTAAAACGTGTTGACATTTAATTGACCTTTGGAAGTTCGTTCTGTTAATCATACTCGAAGCGCCGGCGCTATGGTTGACTGATCTGGTGTTCTTGCGCTCGGCCGTGCTCGGCATGTAAATTCTGTGGCATAATTGCTACTTATTGAGCAAGAAGTTCTTTTCTTCTCCTGAAAATGAGCGAGTTTTGCTGTGCCTCTGGCTGAGTGCTACTTGTGGAGCTCCGAATCAAAAGCTTTCCTGTCGTTAGTTCTTGTGCAGGGTGGGACCTGGGGTTAGAGAGAAATTCCATTACTGAAGCTGTGTTTTTCTCCTTCCTGAGGCCTCAAACAGGGCAAGGTAACCTTGAAGATTACTTCTGTGTCTGCTGCAAATCAAAACACCGTAGTTCCCTCTTCTTTTTTCCTTTGTGTACGTGTGTTTCTCCAAAGCCTTTCTTCTCTCCTGCTATTCAGATGCAGAAGTCCGAGTCAGAAGAGGTCCCAAAAGCAAAATAAAGAACTCCAGAAGTGAACGGTGTAAGCTGCGTGCTGCCTGTGTCACGGCTGGTGGCCCTAAGTTTGTTCTGAGCTGCATTTGTGCATACTGAAAATTGAAGTGTTATGACTGAGAGTCTGAGTAGATGTTGGTTTGCTTTCTGAAGGGTATGTTTCCCAGCGAGGTTGGTGCCACTGGTGGTGCTTTGCATGGCTGGAGACCTCTTATGCTGTATGTTGTATTTATAAGTCTGTTTTTCATGGAAGGTGGGGGAAACATTAGATCTTAATGTAATGTAATATCTGTGCTTCCTAACAGATTGCTAGCTCTTCACTGTTACACTTAAAACTGATTAAAAGCTATTGCCCCATCCTTGGAGCTGCTCAAAGCTGGGGCGGATGGGGCCCTGAGTAGCCTGGTCTGTTGGAGAGCAGCCCCGTCCACAGCAGGGGTTGGAACTAGATGGGCTTTAAGGTCCCTTCCAACCTAAGCCACTCTGTGATCTTATCATTATAAAACCTGACAGCTCTGAAGGGGCTCCTGCTGCAGTTCCCTCAACCGTTCCTTGTACTGCTGTACCCGGGACTCCTTGCGCAGCTCTGGAGTAGAGGTGATGCCTGCACTGCTCGGCAGCTCTCCTGGTGCTGTGTGTGTTGGGGAGGTGTGGGACCTGTTTCAGGTGCTGCTCTTAACAGCAACCTATGCTGTGAGTATTGAGAGAGCTGCTCTAGTGATAGAGTGCTGTTTGCTTAAGTACAATAGACACAAGTGTTGCATGTGATTAGTTATACTGAATCTTTAGAAAGCAGAGTGCAAGTGAATACTTCAAACACATTCCTCTGTTGCTGCTGATGGGAGAAGGCAGTGAGGAACCCTGGGCAGTGCGAGAACTCGTACACGTGGTTGCCTGGCTGGCAGCTGCCGCAGTGCCTGCAAGCTCATGGCAGGCACCTGCAGCTTCTGTGGGAGAAGCTGAAAGGCAGCGACCAGGGACAGCCATGGGTGGAGGGCCTGGAGTGGCTGGCAGGAGATCTGGGAGGTCTGACCTGCAGGTTAGCCTCTCTAGAAGCTCAGCCCTTTGCTCTAGCTGGATGAGAGTATACAGCTGTTCCCATTTGCAGCTGCATACTCTGTCCTGCAGTTAGGTTCCTGAGTAGTCACTTTTCAATGCTTCCCCCATCCCAAGGCCAGGCCAGAAGCTTGTACCTAAGGATCCTTCTGCAGTTTGGGGCAGAATTTCAGACGTGGTGCCCTCTGGGGGCAGGAATCCCGGGCTGAACCTCACCTACTGACATTGCACGGCCAAGTGTGAGGTCCTCACAGCAGAGATATCTTCAGCTGTGGAGTGAGGCCTGAGGTGGAGCTGAGGAGATGTGAATCTGGATGCTTCCTGTCCTGGTGCTTGTGCTGTGCTAAAAGGCTTTGGTATAGCCAGCCCCTTCCCAAACTCATGGTTTTATTGTCAGGATTAAGGTTAGGTCTGGAAATCGTGCCTCATAACACATTTTAATTTCAGCAGATGGGAGTGAAGTAAGGATGCTGAGAACCGAACAGAGCTTTGGACACACATTAGTGGTTAAGGCAGTTCTGTCTGTGTGCATGCCCTGGGAAGCAGGCTGTGTGCTCTGAGAGCTGTAGGCACTACAGGGTTACACGGCAGCCAAGCAGGCATGCTTGGAGTTTTATTCCTATCTAAAACTCTATCAGGCACCTAAACCCCTGAGGGTTAAGAGAGAGTCTTATGAAGGCAAGGTTGATGTTCTTTTTATCTGCATTCCTAGATTACTCTGAGAAGGATAATGTGAAGTCATTCACTGAGGATTATGGCATTGCATGAGAGGAATGTAACATTGGGCCATAAATTAACAGAAACCAGGAAAGCTCATTCTCAGGTCCTGCTCATTTGTGCAGTGGTTTGCATGTGACCCTTTACACCAAGCACTCGTAGTGCAGAAATGTACCTTTTGTAACAACAGAAACTGCCCTGCCACTTACATTTTGTGAAGGTTGTAAGCAAAGAAAAGTGTTCTCTTTTAATTTCAGGTGTGTGAAAAGTAAGGTTTTGCATCATTCTCTAAGGCCATTTTTGCCTGTATCGCTTCATGTTGAGTAAAGCAGAGCAGTTGTGTGGCCTCGATCAGTGTTGGCCCAACAGATGCCTTTCCCCTGTAACACTGCATGAGTGGAGTGCTGTTGTAGATGAGTATAGTTGCATTTTAACATACCTGCTGGTGAAGATGAGCCCAAGCCATCCTAATATGACGTGCCTGACATAATCCTAAAGGGATTAGTTATTAATACATTTGAGGGGAAAAAAAAGTCTGTTCTTGCCTCAGTGTTTCTGTCCAGTGACACACATGCTAAATTAAAGCTTTTGTGGGAAGTTGATTATAAACTTTCTCTGCATCTACACAGCAGTCCTTTTCTTGGAGCTGTCAAGATACATTCTAATAGCTCTAATTTTTAGCTGACTACAAAGCTGTATTTATTCACCAGGGACTTTCTGTGCTAATAAACATCAGAAAAATTTTGGTTAAAGACCTTTTTGTAGCTGGCCTCCTGTCCCCTTTTCTATAACTTCTGGGCAATTATTTCTAATGATCAAAAGCAAGATGTGTTTAAACCCCTTGTTTGCATCTGTAGGAGGCTGTGCAGGGATAACATTTAGAATAGCAATCAGTGATGATCACAGCTGGGTTTTTTTTGTTGTCTTTTTTCCCCCCTGGAGGGGAGTTCTCCCTTGGACTGAAACTGACAGGGAACTTTTCTCAGCACATTCATCTCTTCCTCCCTGTCCCACAACTCTGTTCTGACTGCAAACTGGGGTTGGCTCTGCTTCTCCCCTCCATATAACTTTTAGTATGTGCGCTCTTGGTCATGGCACTGCTGGTTTCTGTGCAGTGTATTCCTCTGCAGGTTGCTCACTAGGGCTTAGCAGGGACATTTGTGTTGTGTTGGTACAACCCATTCGCTGCCTTAAGTGGTCAGTCAATGCACTCTCATCTCTTCCTAGTGCTGAACTGTGTCTTTTTAGCTTGGTGGACCGTTTTGTCAGCGTGCATAAGTCTACTTGGCTTCTGGAGAGCTGGGAGGAAAGAACTTTTCACACTGAGGTTAAGAGGGATCTAAAAGTATAACATTAACAGTTTCAGGTTCATGACCCTGTCAGCGTGATGTCAGCTTTCCACCAATAAAGTGGAGTACTTAACGACCGTGGGAACAGCGAGCATTTTGCTACCTGGAAGGTGATGTTTGGCCTCGTGCTGTAAGCCTGGTCATAGCCAGGGAGAAGGGAGGCTGCTGAAAATAAGTGAAGGGCTGGATTTCAGTAGCTGTACTGCACCTGGTCTATTGTGTGCAAAGGTTAATGCATGTGCTGCATATAAACTGCAGTTTTGTTCCTTACATGTTGGTTTTTTTAATACATTTTACCTGCATAACACTGTGAGTAAGCAAGCTTTTTCTCGAGCACTATAGCATATGGTGTTAACAGAGTTGCTTTCCGCGTATTTTTAGTGGAAGCACTGCTTGACATAGTATCCAGAAGTCATCTTGCATCCAGTATAAATTTCTGGCAATGTTCAGGTACCTTCAGGGCAAACACTGCACAACTGTAAGTGTAAGCTGAAGTGTGGCAGACTCTTCTGCAGAGTGTGGAGCTTTGCAGTTCTCTCTGTAGTACATGGAGTAAAAATGGCTCTGTAATCAGAGACTGTATTCATGTCAGTGTACTGGAGGTGAATGGTAAATGTTAAGACTATGCTAATTGTTTTGGGAGTCCTTATATCCTAATTGCAGATGAGCTCTGTAGGAGAGCGGTGATGATAGGAACAGAGAAGTGCCCTTCCCTGTTTCTGCAAGGGAAGCTTCCCTCCTCTTCCATCCTCTCCAAATTAGTGCTTTGACCCTGGCTAAGGGCAAGCAGAGCCAGTTCCTGCCCAGGCACCAGAAATATGAGGGTAAGCACTCTGCGTGTGAGATATGGGTCACTCGGCCACCACAACAATAAGAGCTGAGTTTCTGCATTTCTTCAAAACTATGTGAGAGACATGGACTGGGAGTCTGTTTCCAAATCATTGGATGGAAGCGTCCTAGATGTTCCTGTGGTTTGCTAGTGTGAGTTTTGTTTGAAAATTGTTGTGGTTGGCTCAATCACAGAATTGCAGGGGTTGGAAGGGACCTCAAGAGATCGAGTCCAACCCCCCTGCCAAAGCAGGTACCCTGCAGCAGGTCACACAGGTAGGTGTCCAGATGCGTCTTGAATATCTCCACAGATAGAAGGAGACTCCACAGCCTCTCTGGGCAACCTGTTCCAGGGCTCAGTCACCTTACTGTAAAGAAGTTATTCCAATATTAGTACAGAACTTACTGTGTTCAAGTTTTAGGCCATTACTCCTTGTCCTATTGCTACACACCACTAAGGAGAGCCTGGCCTCTTCTGTTTGCCTTCCACCTCCCTGTAGATATTTATGGACATTTATCAGGTTTCCCCTGTCTTCTCTAACCCAGCTTGAACAGGCCTAGGTTACTCAGCCTTTCCTCATATGGGAGTTTTTTTTTTTTTAACTGGGGAGCCCAGAACTGGACACAGTGGTTTAAATGTGGCCTTACCAGGGTACAGTAGAGGGGGAGGATCACCTCCCTTGATCTGCTGTCTACGCTCTTTTTAATTCACCCCAAGATCCCACTGGCCTTCTTGGACACCAAGGCACACTGCACGCTCATGGCCAACTTCTTGTCCATCAGGACCCCCAAGTCCTTCTCCACAGAGGTCTTTTTCAGCAGGCCATCCCATAACCTGAACTGATACATGTGGTTATTCTTCCCCAGGTGTATGACTCTACACTTGCCCTTGTTTAACCTCATTGGGAACACCAAGAATTTCTCTCATGTGACCCCCTTCTTTCTGCAGAGTGTCCCCTGTGCAGGAGGCTTGTTGTTTCAGCAGGAGAGCGTTGTCTTCAGCACAATATCCTCTGTGTGGTCATCTTGCTTTCTTTTTAAGTATATAGATAGAGAGGTCCACTCTGTGTTACAGCTAACTTGTTAAATCTCAGTAAATGGTTCTTGCTGGACTTGGGAAATGTTGTGTTTGGGACTATTGGGAAATGCTCCACCCAGATACTCATGGGAAGATGTTATTGCCAGTGAGGACTGTTTTCTTGTCTATTGTATGCTCTTTATTCAAATAAATAACCCTTCTGTTTATCTACATTGCATTCCTCTGAAATAGAAAAGATTAGCCTAGAGTGTGCTACTGTGGAAACTGGTACAGAGGAGCAAACAGTATAACCTCAGCTGGTTCCCTGCTCTGTGGTGGCACCATGACTTGCACGTGTCTCGTTAATGTGTGATCATGTTTAATGCTCTGAGCCACCTGTAATTCACTTCTGCCAGGTGGTGGTAAGGGATTAGTGAGTGTGTTTCACCTTCCCTTCCATCCATTGGTACCTCAGGACATAAAGCTTTTGGGTTATGCAGAAATGCTCTCAAAACCCTGAATTCAACCACTGTGTACTGTTTCTGATTTTGTAGCTGAGTATAAATATTGCTGATATTTTAACTTGATCTTTACTTCTTGCTGGAGCTGATTGACAGAAAAAATACCTTTATCAAAAGCACGGTTCTTTGATGTGGCCACATAAAAAAACTGCTTTCAGCGCCTTCAGAAGGCGTAAGGAGTGCAAATTGATAAATGCTGTATTTTGATTATGTATGTATTTCAGTTAATGAGCTCTACTTATCGTATCTCTTTCAATTTTATTATACACTACTAACTAAGGTTTCAGAACTGTCGAATGCATATCTTTTTCCTTCTGCAGGCTGGGTTATTTTAGTTCCCGTTATTGTGTTATTTTCATGCTCTTCTCTGAATCTCTTTCTCTCTTTTGTTGTTATTCTCCTAATAATCTGATTCTGTCCTGTGTGTTCATCCATCCATCTGCAGAGGGATTCTGTATGTTCCTTTTCCTCCAGAAACAAATGTGTGAATTAATTCCTTCTCTGCGTCGGAGACTTAACTGAAAGGAATCTGGGGTTTTTAGCTTTTCTAAGGTGATACTCAGTCACAGATTTATTGTGGTTTGGGTTATACAATCTGTTTATTTCTTTAAATAATAAGCAGGAAAGTTTATTATGCCACTCTGAGGTAAGAAAGTTAACTTCTTCAGTATAGTTTCTGCGTTGTTATACTACCTAGGCAGTTAATGTTTATCTCCTGTAATGGAGAGAGAGCTATAATCAAAGGTAATATGTCACATTGAGCACATTTTAGGTTTTAAATGAGTGTACCAAAAGGACACTGTTTAAATAATTGTTGTTAAAAGCTATCTAACTTCTTGCAAACAGTCTTAATAACGAGAATTCTGTGATCTGAATTTCTGGAATTACAATAACTTCTGTTTATATGTGTGCTGCAGGTTCTTGGAAACTTGAGGAGCAATCTTCAGTCCCTGAAGAATGCAGTTCTCACCGGATGTGTGTATCCTACATTAAAGAGAACAGAAGCAGGATCAGCTGGTGTCCAGGAAGTAAGTTCTTGTTCTTTCTCCAGACTTGTTGCTGCTGAGGTACTTGTTGTTCCAAGATGTGTAATGCACAGTCATGATCCTTCACCTAGATGTGCTGGATTAAAAGCTGATGTTGATGAGGTCCAAGAAGATGCACTACATGTTGTTGATACTTCTACCAAATTCTAGTTTTAACATCTCTTTTCCAAATGTTTGAATGTCCTGCGTCTTGTTTTGGCTGCTTGTCTGCAACTGCTGCTTTCGCATTGCTGAGTGCAGGGGGAGCTTCTTTTGGCATTTCACAGTGAGTTCAAATGCAGTTGGAAGAAGCAGATTCATCAGCAACAGTTGGAGATACTCGTGCTGTATCTAACAGCTGTGAACTTGAGTTCATATAAATAATGTGTGTTAGTCCTGTCCTGTCAGAGACAGGAAGAGAAGGAATGATTTTTTTTTTCAGTATTTAATGGATATCTTAAGGTTTTTGACAGACAGATTTGAAAAATGTTTATTATGAAGCAAACTAAGAAAACAATTGTGAGTGAAATTATTTTGAAGTTTTATCTGGCTTTCTTTGAATTTGCATTTTTGTCTGTCGGTATTTCAGTGTTTATTCAAATAGGATTAAAAACTAATTTACCTGTCTGAATTTGCGGATCACCTCATCTGCATGGGAAGTGATGGATAAAAGGCACTATTTTTAAATTTGAACACAAACAGCACTTCCAAATTCTTGTTTCAGTTGGAGTTCTTTTTGTTGTTGTTGTTTGGGCTTTCTTTTCTCATTTTTCATCAATGATTCATTTCATCTTGCTTGGAAGTTTCAGGAGAGTTAAGGAAAAACAGCTGGATTTTTTTTGTTTTTGCTAGAGAATGCCTAGGGTTCCACTGGTGTGCACCTTTCTGCTTCTGTGATGTAAAGTGGAAAGATGTTGAAAAGTGTCTCTACCTATTACCGTGTTCCTTTCCTTTCCCTTTTTTTTTTTTTTTTTTTTTTTAAATATATATTTTAAATCCTCTGTTTGTTGAAAGCTTTATCAAAATCAGTGGTTATTGAATCCTACTAATTGGTGTTTGAGTCTCGGACGCTTTCAATTTAAACACTTGTTAAGGATATATGACTTCCTTCAAATGCAAGAAAAGTACAAATTAAATAGTGCCATAGAGATAGCTGATAGCATTCTCTTGCCTACCAGTCCATGCTGTGTGATAAAATGCCTCTCGGTTTCAGATTGACCTTGCCTTGACTTTCATACAGATATGATCTGTTTGATGTCTTTTAAAAGCTGAAAGGAATTCATACATGGAGTGACATTGCACATTGTTGCTGACATAATGTCCTTCATTTAATTCACTCAAAGTAGTAGGATTAGGTAGTATCTCTACTCCCTTCCCCTTTTAAGTTGTAGATACTAGATCAGTACATTTACAAATGAGAGGCTAATCTCTGTTTTATGACCAGCTGTAATTAAACTCAAATATTTTCATTCTGCAATTGCTGATTTGAATCCAGGAACTTTTTTTGTTTGCTTTTACAGTCCATGTAGATTGTCTTGCAAGGTGACTTCATATATTTCTTAACTGGCTTGTGACAAACAAGATGGAACTTGCCAGAGTAGGAGCTATTTTTTTGTTCTTTATTCAGAAATGTCATGATAGGAAATACACTTTCTTTCCTGTGTGCCCTCTGGGAGACCTCCCACAGGCCATCAGTACCTCCTCACGTGGGTAACTTTGTGGAGCTGAGCACCTCACTGATAATTTCATAGCTTTCCTTGGTCGCTCTGCAAGACAGAGAGTTGATCTTGTGCCTCTGGAGTGGTATATGGATGCCAAGTGCTAAGAATTCCTGGAATGTAGAGTTGTGCAGTACTGATAAAGTTTGCTTTGTTTCCTTAGTGACTTGATCCATTGAGAAAATGTGGTTCCCTAGGAAGCTTTAATAGCTCCACATTGGTATTGAATAAAGGGGAAGGCCCTAACATAATTCTGCTTGTTTTCACCTGCTGCCTCAAAGATTAATTTTCTTAGCCTAGGAATAGAAAATACAACCCTGAGTTTTGAAAGGGATTTATAGATATCCTTCACACTTATCAGTTTGAGTAAATACACCACAGGCTTCTGTGTCGCAAACAACTGTGGTCTTTTCATAACCTGCTAGGTTTACAGCGCAGTAATTTCATTTGGGGGCAAGAAAGTTTCAAAGAAAATCGCCTTCTAATTAGAGTGGTATAATCACCCTGTTTGCGTGCTGTGGTTTCATATGACTTCAGAAAAATAGTTGAGTGATTAATCTTTAATTTTACCCATCATTAACTTAATAAGGAAACTGAAGACAGGATGAAAAACAAACAGCAGAACTGTACAACTGAAGTGTTATTGTGCCAAATTCTTTTGGCTTCTTCGTTTGGTAAGAGATACCTTTCTGTGAACTACGTGAATTGTGGCAGCAACTGCTTACCTCAGATGATTTGTAGAATTCCTCAAACCTGTTTGAACTTTATTGAAGCCTTTGCAGAGCTTCCTCCCTCCTCCTCGCTATCCCCTCTGGGTTGCTTATTTTTTTTTTTCTTCTATGATTTTATTTGGAAGCAAATGTTGCATGAATTAACATCTAATATCTCAGAATTCCCTCGCATCCACTTTTCCTCAGGGAAGAAAGCCATCTCAAACACTGTAGTGAAACGTTCCTGAAGTGGGTTTGGTGCTATCTTAGCACCGTCTGCTGTCTTTAGTCGTTTCACTGATCAGTTAACTTACTCAGTAGTGCAGTTATGCAGTTTCTGCAAGAAGTGTGATAGGGTTGCTCTAATGTCTCAGAGAACGAAACAAATGCAACAATGGAAACAAGTTACTTTATTTCATACGTTTTTTTTTAATTCTTACCAGATGTAAAATAGCCAACATAATTCTCTAAATGTAATGCTTGAGCAGTAAGTACGCCTGTCTGCTTGAACATATTTCTCCGGAAGTCAGGCTTCCTTTATTTTGTTAGTAAATACTCATAAAACTACCCCATGCACCTCTGCATGTAACAACACAGCAACAGAAGTTGTGGCAATCTAAACTAACCTGCTTGGAGGCCTCTGCATGTTCATAGTGTAAAGTAAACAGCTGAGGAATGTGTATTGCTGTTGACAGTGAGCGACTGTAAACATCCTCGACTGGAAGCTGTGAAGCAGCAGATGGGGCTTTCAGTCGGATGTTTGCAGCTGCCAACTGCCACAGACGTCAAGAAATGTTTGACACCTAAAGCATGGTTGTCTGTTTAAAACTTCTATTCTATTTGGTTTATCACAGACATATGAGTTTAGGCCAAACCTTTCTACATATTATATGTGGTGCCTGTGTCTAGAAACCATCCAGTTTCTCGTAGGAGCTGTGAAAAAAAAACACCAAAAAAAACCCCAAAAAACTGAATATAAAGTAAAACAAGAAATAAATTAGGCTATATTTTTAACTACAAACTTTCAATTGTGTTTCCAGAAGCAAGTTGCCATGTAGCTTGCTTGGCTGTACATGTTGTTTGGCTTGGTTTCTAGGCTTTGCTGAAGATATGAGATTACAAGATTAGTACGCACATGCAGCCTCTCTGTAATAGTTCATTTAGAACTTGAAATCTGAAGCCTTGTAGGAAACAACCACTTACAGGGCTTTTGGAAGCTGGAAATACACCAATTACAGTGACATTGGGGAAAAAAAAAAAAAGACAATATTTTTTCCTGGAAGAGGCCAACCCTGAAAAATGATGGAGAGAATGTGGAAGCTTTTTTTGATTGGGTTTGTGTCTGACATGTATCACAGTTCCTCAGTCATTTGTGGTCCAGCAGTTCACCCTCTTCTCCCTTTTCCGTTTATTCACCTTCCCTCTTCCCCATTGCAAAAGTGTAGGCAATACTGAAGGCTGGTTCAGATGTTTCTAGAGGTCAGCTGAGATGATTTGAAGACTCCAGTCCTGCCAATCAGTTTTGTGTGTGGGTGGACTCCAGTAGTTAAATTTGATGCCAGAATTCTAGCTGGAGAGAACAGCTTGTGGGGTTGGGATGGTACTCTCCTGCCTTTGGTCTAACAATGACTGCTGTCATGTCAGAAAAAGAGCAGCAAGGCTATAGCACATAGCTGTGTCAAGCTGAAACTGAAAGCATTTGTTTGCTTTTGAAAGAAGATAGGCATCTTGTTGGTATGTGTTTTAAATGTCTACACCTTTGGTAGAGAGGGCTTTGTTGCCAACTTGTTATTTATTGTTCTCAGTATCCTTCTTTTTCAGATATGTCTGTGTCTATGTCTATATACTGGGCTTTATAATGTGTACTTTAACACATCCCTTACGTTTCATACAAGATACAGATAACCTAAGACTATCTGAACATGCTGATTTTTGTTCTTTAAATGAGCTATTGTCCTCTCAAGACTCTCATAAAATACTATTGACATGTCTACTTAAAGTTGTATGCAGAGGGTCAAGAAAACGTTCTCTGTTTGAGGGAACTTAGTTAATCCATGCTTTGTGTACTGCTTTTAGTGGAAGTTTGTGGACTTGCCATAAGTTCAGGTTCTATTGCATTTCAGTAGTGCTTGATGGCTCCTGCTAGGATTAGTACTGAACATCTTGTGTGCTTTGCCATCTCGACAAGGAATTACAGTCTAATTCAAGGCCAGCTATAAAAGTGGAAACTAGATAACGCAGATGGAGGACAAATGGGGAGAAGTGGAAAACCAGGGGGATAAAGGGAGCAGCTTATGTCATGACTATACAGAGTGGCTATCTGTGTGTAGGAGCTGGTGAGCTGTTTTCTGATTGGAAATAGAGAAGACAGAAGTGGCAGCTTCTTAGTCAGTTATATTGCCTATATATATCCTGAAAGAAGACAAGTTTGGTACCTAAAAGGAGTGTATAAACAGGAGGGGAGCCAGCTCTTTGAAAGGGTAGATAATAGCTGGGGAAATGGTTGTACGTTGAAGAAGGGAAGATGTAGGTTGGATATCAGGGGGAAGTTCTTTACGGAGAGAGTGGTGAGGTT